AGCTCTAATATCAACCTCCCATATGACCCCGTAATCCCCCTACTGGGAATATACCTTGAAGAACTCAAATCACTCTATAAAAAAGATACCTGCACATGTATGTTTATCACAGCGTTGTTCACAATAGCAAGAACCTGGAAACAACCATGCTGCCCATCAAAAGAGGACTGGATTAAAAAAATGTGGTACATATGCATGATGGAATACTATGCAGCCATAAAAAAGAACAAAATCATGAATTTCGCAGCAACCTGGATGGAACTAGAGTCTATAATACTGAGTGACCTCTCACAGAAACAAAGATCCGAATATCACATGTTCTCACTCATATAACGGACCTTGAACATCCAATGTAATACTATAAGAAAATGACTGACGGTACTGGGAACTATGGGGGGGAGGGGGATGGGATTAACAGTAGCAAATATCTGTCTGGGGATGGGAAAACACCTCTTACCAACAGGGTGCCTGTATGAAATGTAATTGTACACCTAACCCTTAACTGTACCCCACAAAACCTAATAAAAAATATTGATTAATAAAAAAAAAAGAATACTTAAACTTAAGCATCGTTTTAACATCACAAAAAATCTATGTAATTTGTTGTAAGTGATTTGTTTTGTAATGATAATTTTAACTTGCTCTGTGGTGGTAACTTGCAGAGATTATTTCCCTTGTAGAGAGAAATATAAGCTCACTACTACTCACAGTAAAATGGCTTCTGCTCAAATCTGAACAGTTGTCCAAGTCTTTCTCTCTCTTTCTCTCTCTCTCTCTCTTTTTCTCTTTCTCACAATCGCCAACGCCATCTCCACCTTTGGGGTACCCTGAACTCGGTTAAGAGCTGGACTCTGGCACTTTCTGGTTTGGAGGAAGAAGTTGGCTGCCAGATGCTGGTGGTGGGCACTGAGTGAGTGTGACTAGGAGGTGAGCTTTCTTGACCTGGGAACTGGCTGTCAGGCACTGCTGGTTGTGAGTTGCACTCGGGGGCTAACTGACCTAGGCATTCAGAATATGGTATGTTCCCAGCTTCCCATGGACTCTGGCCACAGGAAGCTGTGCCCTAACCAGGTCTTCTCCCATGTGGGACCAATGACTCACATGTGACTGGGAGGAGGGGAACCAACCCACACTGTGCCAGGAGCATGTACCTTCTCTCGCACACAAACAGGGCTGCAGGTTCTATGTGAGCTTGGTGCCTGGCAGAATGGGGCATCCCAGTTCCAACTTATACCTTTCAGACTCTCTTTCTTGGTCCCAGTGTGGTTGAAGAGACCTCTGAGGGATGCAGGGTGCTTCCCCCATCCAAAACTGTTCAAGCCACCTGAGTTTACTGGTGCATGGGTTCATCCTCTTTGTTCCAGTTAGTGAGATAGGTGTAGGTCAGTTACTCCCCAGTGACTATCTTGGATCTCCCCTGGACATTTTTGTTTAGAAATTGACAAGTTGATTCTAAAATTTGTAGAAATACAAAACACCTAGAATAGCCAAAGTAATTTTGGAAAAGGACAAATTGGAGTATGTATAGTACCTAATTTTAAGACTTATTATAAAACTAAATAATCAAGAAAATGCAGTATTGGTATAAGGATATACACATATGTTATCAGTGGAATAGGATAGAGTCCAAAAATAGGTCCAGGGCACAGGGTGAATTGATTTTTGACAAAAGTGACAAAATACTTAAGTGGGGCAAATGACAGTCTTTTCAACAAGTGGTGCTAGAACAACTGGATAGCTATGTGCAAAAAGTGAACTTTGGGCACATCATACTGAAAATTGACTCATAGTGGATCACAGATATAAGAATAAGAACTGAAAATATAAAACCCTCAGAAGAAAATCTTTGCAACATTGAAATAGGCAAATACTGTTTAGGGCCCTCAACATATGAAAGAAACAATTGAGAGACAGAGCTCTTTTCCTTGGAGCAGGCGGCCGCAGTGGTGGTAGCTTGTGCAGCAGTGATCAAGATTAAGGCCCCAGACTTTTGCAGCAAGAAGAAGGAGCTGCTGAAACAGCTGGACGAACTGAAAGCAGAGCTGTCCCAGCTGCGGGTCGCCAAAGTGACAGGCAGCGCAGCATCCAAGCTCTCTAAGATCCGAGTCACCTGCAAATCCATTGCTTGTGTTCTCACCGTTATTAACCAGACTCAGAAAGAAAACCTCAGGAAATTCTTAAAGGGCGAGAAATACAAACCCCTGGATTTGCGGCCTAAGAAAACGCGTGCCCTATGCCACTGGTTCAACAAGCACGAGGAGAATCTGAAGCCCAAGAAGCAGCAGTGGAAGGAGTGGTCTGAGCACCCGTGGATAAAATACAACTGGCTTAAAAAAAAAGAGAGAAAAAAAAGAAAAAAAGAAAAAGCGAATTTCCTCAAAGTTAAAGACTTCTGCCCTTCAAAAGACACCATCAAGCAAATGAAACGGGACGCTAGAAACTGGTAGAAAAAATTTGCAAAACCTATACTTGTCAAGTAACTTATATTATAGAGAACTCTTATATCTGTACAATAATAAGACCAACCACCTAATTAAAAAATGGGAAAAAATATTTTCAAAACAAGTTATTTGAATGGCTGTTTGCATATAACAATGTACTCACTATCTTTAGTCATTAGGGAAATGCAAATTAAAGTCACAGCAAGATACCACTACACAACTTTAATTAGCTTAAAATTAAAAAGACTCACAATACCAAATGTTTGCAGTAACTCATACATTTCTAATGAGAATGTAAAATGGTACAACCACTTTGAAAGACAATTTGGTAGTTTCTTAAAAAGTTAAACTTGTACTTATTAAAACCTACAATTCCACTAATATATATTGACCTAAGGGAAATGAAAATATTAGATTACATAAAGCATTGTATAGGAATGTGTATAGCACTTCATTCATAGTAGCCCCAGACTGAACTTCAAATGTCCATCACTAGGTGAACAGATAAAACAATTTTTGTTATATAATGGAATATAAATCACCAACAAAAAGGAACAGAATACATCAAACTACGTGCAACAATATAAAAGAATCTCAAAAACTTTTTGCTGAACAAAGTAAGCCAGATATGACAGATTACATACTATATGATTCTGTTTATATTAAATGCCATTTAAATATCTAATTTTTCTTGACAGAAGTAGATAGTGATTATGTTTAGGATCCTGGATGGGAGGACAGATTGGCTGAAAAGTGGCACAAGGAAACTTTTTAATCTACTTACTGATGGAAATTTGGGGTCCAGTTTGAGGCTACTATGAAGAAGTGGTTATACATATTTTTGTACAATTCTTAGAATTATAAAGTTCTTAGCTTTATTTCTTGATCATTCTGTTTGTTACATGTGTAAAGGCATTTGTCAAGTTGCAATAAACTGTAAACTTAAAATGGAAAGATCTTATTTTATGTAAATTAGTATCTTATTTTAGGCAAATTATACCTTAATAGAATTGCATTTAAAAAGCTTCAGAGACTGAAGGAGGTAAAGCTACTTGCATAAGTTTACATAGTAAATGGCAAAAATAGATTAAACTCTCACCTGACTCCAAATCTGTTCTCTTTCCATTATGGTGTTCAATGGGTGCTCAATCAATATTGAATTGAATACAAATGTGAACAGAGGGATTAAAGGCCTTAAAGATGAGGCAAGAAATATATTTTTCATACTGAAGGTATTATAGTAGAATAGGTGAAATAACTGAGGCAATTTCTTCTTCTCCATGTTTGCATTGTGTCTTGGACTTAATGCTATTATATTTTTAAATTACATTTTAATTTTTAAAATTATGATTGTATACTAGTAATATACTGCCACTTATTTAAAGGAAGGAGCTTCCTCTTATTCATCTTTTATCACTTGCTCTGATTGGCACATAAAAGGGCTTAGTAAGTGGGAATGAATGAATGAATGAATGAAAAGTACCTGTTAGGGCTTTAGGGAGTACTTATTGTCTGATATAAGACATACGATAAGGCCATTTTGAATTGGAGAGAAGCAATTATAAAATAAACAATAGAACACTGGGATTTGAGCATGGTATAGTGAAAAAGAACATGAGCTTCTTGCCACTTATTACTGTGTGTTTTGGGGCAAGCTACTTGACCTCTGAGTTCCATAGTTTTTATCATGTAAATTGCAGGTACAATACTTAAGGAGTAGGTTTTGAGGATATATGAAATAATATATGTGTGAACAGTGTAGTGTATTTTCTGGCTAAAACTGAATGGTCAATACAAATGGTAAACATTTCTCTTTTCTCATTTTCTCTTCTCATTGATGTTCAAGGAATTCTCAGCTCTAAATTGAATAACGATCTTAAACCTGCTCTTTTCAGGTATACGAGAATTCTAGGGTGAAAGTAGTTCAAAGTCATTTAAAAGTTACCTGTATCAATTTTACTTTTACCTACTGTTCATGACTCTCTCTTATACTTGACTCCAAAACTGGCAGTAGAATTACTCCAGGACAAGTGGGCATTCTTGCTTTGTAAACAGAACCCTACAATGACATTTTCTGGTGGTATAGTTCCTCTTTTAAGGAAAAGTATGGTTTTACTTTTTTGAAGGGCAAAAAGCATAGTTCTGTGGTTAAGCAAATGGACCACTAACTCAACCCGGAGATAACACTTTCTAACTATATAGCAAAAGATTCAAGATCTTTTACTCAATCTCTTGGGTCTTGAATCTTAGGTCTTTATTCACTCTTTCTAAGTCTCATTTTCTGTGTCTGTAAAGTGGAGCTAACAATGAATATATAACAGGATTGTTGTAAGGATTAAATGAGATTTTAAATGTGAATGCTTAGCATAGTAACTGGTATATTGTAAATACTCAATCAAATCATTGTCATAAGCAACATTATTTAATTATTCAGGGAGAAAAATCTCAATGAGAAGACTTACAGTTATAAAAGAACTGTGTCAGAGATTGATTAGAGCATTTGCAAGTTTTATTGCCTAGTAAAATTAGTATACAGCATTTGCTAAAACTTCTTATGAGGTTCATTTGACAAGAGTCTTCTTTTATGCTTTATCTATTCAAATAATTACTTATTGGCAATTACTTATGCTTCTTGCCTTCACTGTACTATGACTTTAGATTTCTGACTGTTATGCAAGGGAACTTTTGAAAACAGGTGAACTATGACTTAAGCCTCAATTTGAAAATTTTGTAGGTAGTTTTTCTATTGTAACATTGGCAGAAGTTGTAGGGTTTTTGAAAGTATTCATTATCAGTTAACATAAGTAAAAATGAAAGCTAATATATCTTTATGTAAAAAAAGCTTTATAGAGGTTTAATTTACATATTATAAAATTTACCCATTATAAGTGTACCATTGAAAATTTTTAGGAAATGTATCAGTTGTGAAACTATCACCACAATCTAGTTTTAGAACAGTCCCATCATTATAAAAAGATTCTCACTCACTCTCCACCCAAGCCCACAACTGACCTGCTTTTTGTCTCTATAAATTTCATTTTCTGAACAGTTCATATAAGTTGAATTTTATAATATGTCACCTTTCACTTCTAGTTTTTTTCATTAAGCATGCTTTTGAGGTTCATTCCTGTTATAGTCTGTATCAGGATTCTTTCCATTTCATTGCTGAGTAGGATTTCATAGTATTGATATATCATATTTTTAAAAAGTCCATTCCCTAGTTGATGGACTTTAAGTTTTTTTCTAATATATATATGTTTTTTCTAATATATATAATGTTGCTGTGAACATTTGTATAAATATCTTTGTGTAGACATAGGCATTCATTTTTTTTTGGTAGAATCATAGGTTATATGGTAATTTTATGTTTAACATTTTCAAAACCTGCCAAATTATTTTTCAAAGTGGCAGAGCCATTTCACATTCCCACCAGCAATATACAGTGGTTCTAGATTCTTCACATCCTTGCCAATACTTGGTATTCTGTATCATTTTGATTCTAGATATTCTTATGGGTGTGTAGTGGTATCTTATTGTGGTTTAATTTATGTTTTCCTAATAGTCATGATGCTAAGCATCCTCTGTTATACTTACTAGTCATTTGATTGATTATGTTCTTTAGTAAAATGTGTCTTCAATTCTTCTGTCAATTTTTAAATTAGGTTGCTAATCTTATTTTTAAGTTTTGGTATTTTAAATTTTAAATAAAAATACTTTAAAAAAGGTATAAGTTGCAATTTTTAAATTTTTTGCTTGTCTTTCATTTTAAAAATGATGTATATTTAAAAATGGCCTTGTATTAAATCCAAGATAGTGATTTTTTTCTTTCATGACTCATGCTTTACTGGGAACACTTTCCTAACTCAATATGATAAATACATTCTTTTTTCTTTTTCTAGGTATTCTATACTTACTTTTAGTTCTTACATTTTGAGTTAAGTTTTGTGTATGGTGTGAAGTAAGGATCAAAGATTGATTTTTTTCCCCCCTGTAAATCTCCAATTGTCTCAGGCTCATTTGTTGAAAAGACTGTTCTTTCTCTAATAAATTGTTTTGGCACCTTTGTGGAATAGACAGCTATTTTAGTCTCAACAATCAGGAAATATAGTGTTTTCTAGACCGTAACAAATAATTCTGCAATTTAAATTCCCCAAACTTTTCCATTTCCTAGGAAATAAGTCGTTCATCATTCTAATTTTGGTGTCTGTAGGAAACATAGTACAGAAAATTGGAACCAGATGAGTTTTTAAATAACAATTAACTTTATCAACTAATTGGAAAAACTGACTGCTACTTTTTGACCTGGTGACAAGAATTTAGATTCTAAAAACACAGTATTCACAGTATTAAGATAATATTCTGTACTGGGTGTAATGGCTCATGTCTGTAATCTCAGCACTTGGTGAGGCCAAGGTGGGAGGACTAAGCCCAGGAGTTCAAAAGCAGCCCAGGCAACATAGCAAGACCTCATCTCTACAAAAAAAAAAAAACAATTAGTCAGGTGTGGTGGTGCATAGCTGTAGTCCCAACTACTTGGGAGGCTGAGGTGAAAAGATTGCCTGAACCCAAGAGATTGAGACTGTGGTGAGCTGGGATCATTCCACTGCACTCTAGCCTGGGTGACAGAGTGAGACCCCAACTCAAAAAAATAAAAATAAAAATAAAATAAAATAAAATAAAGAGCGAGAGACAGAGAATATTCTGTTTAGGAGCAAAGTAAACCTATTCATATTTAATCGAAGGAATAGTTTGAGTAATATGATTATATGAACATATATATATCCACTTGACATGGTTGTTTGTGTTTCACATAAATAATAACTTCTTTATGTACTTTTTAGACTCCATTTCTGATATTAAACTTGTGACATTCTATGGTTACATTTATCAGAACAGATTCATTTACTTTTTATAAATTAGTTTTT